CTCCTACCAAAATCCCAGCAGTTTTTTTTTTTTTTTTTTAGCATAAATTAACTAGCTGGTCTTAAAATTCATATGGAAATGTAAGGAAACTAAAATAGCCAAAATAATCTTGGGAAAAACAACAACAACAACAACAACAAAGTTGGAGGACTCACACTGTCTAATTTCAAAACCTACTGCACAGTTAAGTAATCAACATAGTGTGACTGGGCGCAGTGGCTCACACCTGTAATCCAGCACTTTGGGAGGCCAACGCGGGCAGATCACTTGATGTCAGGAGCTCAAGATCAGCCTGGCCAACATGGTGAAACCCCATCTCTACTAAAAACCCAAAAATTAGCTGGGCGTGGTGGTGCACACCCGTACTCCTAGCTACCCAGGAGGCTGAGGCAGGAGAATTGCTTGAACCTGGGAGGTGGAGGTTGCAGTGAGCCGAGATCGTGCCACTACACTCTAGCCTGGGTGACAAGAGTGAGACTCCATCTCAAAAAAAAAAAAAAAGACAGTGTGGTACTGGCATAGGATATACAGATAAATGAACTAGAACCAAGGGCCCAGAAATAAAAGCCCAGAAATAAACCCTTACATTTATGCTCATTTGATTTTCAATAAGACAATTCAAAATGGAAAGAATAGTCTTTTCAACGAATGGTACTAGGACAATCAGATATCCGCATGTAAAACAATAAAGTTGGACCTTCACCTCACAGAACAAAGCTAGACCCCTCCCTCACAAAAATTAACTCAAAATGGATCACATACCTGAATATAAGAGCTAAAACTATAACATTCTTAGAAAAGATTAATAGACCAACTCTGGGCACAATGCCTATGAGTTAGCCCTGCTCTGCAAGGAGCAGTTATATAATTAATAAATTAATTAATAAATAAATAGTAGCAGCTCTTGGTGACCTTAAGATAGGCAATGATTTCTTAGATATGACACCAAAAGCACATGTGACCAAAAATAAATAAGATTTCATTAAAATTAACAATGTCGTGCTGTAAATGATACCATCAAAAAAGTGAAAGACAATCCATAGAAGAAAATATATGCAAATCCTGTATCTGATAAAGGACTTGTATCCAGAATATATAAACAACTCTCACAACTCAAAAAAATATATATATATATAGGCAAAGGACATGAACAGACATTTCTCCAAAGATATACAAATAGCCGATAAGCACATCAAAAAATGCTCAACATCATCAGTCATCCCGAAATGCAAACCCACAATGAGATAGCACTTCATACCCACTAGGATGCCTACAATCAAACATATGAACAATAACAAATTTTGGTAAGGATCTAGGGAGAATGAAACCATAATACACTGCTGGTGGAAATGTAAAATGGTGCAGACACATGGGAAAACAGTCTGGCAGTCCCTCTATGACCAACAATTTAGTCCTAGATATATACTCTAGCAAAATGAAAACATGTCATCCATCCACACAAAAACTTGTACACAATGTTCACAGCATTATTTATAAGATAATAAATAATAAGTTGACAGCTGGCATGGCGGCTCATGCCTGTAATCCCAACACTTTGGGGAGGCCGAGGTGGGAGGATCATTTGAGGTCAGGAGTTTGAGACCAGCCTGGCCAACATGGCAAAACCCTGTCTCTACTAAAAATACAAAAATTAGCTGGGCGTGTTGGTGCACGCCTGCAGTCCCAGCTACTCAGGAGGCTGAGGCAGGAGAATTGCTGGATCCTACGAGGCGGAAGTTGCAGTAAGCTGAGATCACGCCATTGCACTCCAGCCTGGGTGACAGAGCTAGACATCATATCAAGAAATAAACAATAAGTGGAAACAACCCAAACGTCCATCGACTAACTGATGAATGGAAAACAAAATGTGGTATATCCATATGACAGATTAATATTTGTAAATAAACAGAAATGCTATATGCTACAACAAGGGTAACCCTTAAAAACACTATGCCAAGTGAAAGAAGCCAAACACAAAAGACCACATGATATATGATTTCATTTACATGAAATGTTCAGAATAGGCATATCCAGGGACAGAAAATAGATTAGAGATTGCTTAGGTCTGGGGAATGAAGGGAGGGAGGATTGACTATTCACTGCTAATGAGTATCGGATTATCTTTTATGTGGGATAAAATGTTCTAAAATAATATTGTGATCACAGTTGCACAATCCTATGATATACTAAAAATCACTAATTGGATGAATTGTAAGGTATATGAATTAATCTCAAAGTTGATTTAAAAAAATCAATCCCAGCACTTTGGGAGCCCAAGAGTTTGAGACCAACCTGGGCAACATAGGGGAGACTGTCTCTACAAAAAAACAAAAAAACAAAAAAACCCTTTTTATTAGGGAGACTGCCTCTACAAAAAAATAAAAAATAAAACCCTTTATTTTATTTTTATTTTTTTTTTTTGAGATGAAGTCTCACTCTGTCACCCAGGCAGGAGTGCAATGACCCGACCTCGGCTCACTGCAAGCTCCGCCTCCCAGATTCAAGAAATTATCCTGCCTCAGCCTCCCAAGTAGCTGGGATTACAGGTGCCCGCCACCACGCCCAGCTAATTTTTTTGTATTTTTAGTAGAAACAGGGTTTCACCATGTTGGCCAGGCTGGTCTTGAACTCCTAACCTCAGGTGATCCACCCACCTCAGCCTCCCAAAGTGCTGTGATTACAGGCAAGAGCCACCATGCCCGGCCTCTACAAAAAATTTTAAAAAATAATTAGCCAGATGTTGTGGCGCATGCCTGTGGTCCCAACTGAGGTGGGAGGATCACTTGAGCCAGAGGTTGAGGTTACAGTGAGCTGTGATCACACCACCGCACTCCAATCTGGACGACAGAGTGAGAACCTGCCTCAAAAAAAAAACACCAATATTTCCTTGGTATTTTGAGCTAGAGAAATTCAATTTAATTCAGTATTCCTGACCCTATCCCAACACCCTTGCACCACACCTAGAAAAGAGATGAATTTAAAAGATTTTAAAGCCACCACCATGCTGTAAACCTCTGGGAGGTCTCTGACCCTCTGTCTCCCTTTCCATTTGAGGTCCTGCATTAGAAAAGGCAACTGACCTCTCTGAGGCAAATCTCTGCCAGGCAAGTGGCTGACAATGTTATAATCCTGTCTTTCACTTAAACATGGTCCAGCAGCTTCAGGAAGCATCCCTTTGAATGACCTCTCAAGAATCTAGGATTGATGGTATCTTTTACACGTCACACCACACACAATTCACATCAGGAAGAAGGAGAGGCCATCTGGACTCAAACCCCTCATCCAGCCACCTGACCTCTAATGGATTTCCCAGGCTCCACTCCGGGATCACTGGAAGGATGGAACACTACACTGCTGTCATCCACACAAACACTCACTAAATGTTCTTTGATGTCATCATTAAGAAAGGAGAGGCATTTGACTGAACCCGCTCTTAGAGACAGAAAGACGTGATTCCAATTTCACTCCAGTTGTTTCCTCTAACACATACTCTCCAGACACGGGTCATGAGACCCCCTGCACCTGGGTACCTTTCCTTTAGCCCTTGGCAAGGTTTCCCAAACTCCTGGCTAAGCCAAAGCTCTTACGTTAGTCCTCTGAGAACAATGGTTTCTACCACAGAAACTGTCACTATTACAACTTGACATTTGTTTGCGAAATTGCATTAATGTCTGTCTACACTACCAGACTGTAAACTCCATGAGGGTTTATGCATTGCATGCCTGCTCACCATCCCCGGTACCCTGCCTGCCACTGACTCAACACTTGCCAGGCACCTCTCTAGATCCTGAACATCTGCAGGAAACATCAGATGAGGCCCCTGACCTCTGGCAGCTTCTGGTCTACTTAGAGGGAAGGCCGAAAACAAAATCCATAAGCCAGTGAATAAGATCATTAAAGAAAATGGGTCTAAAATCGACACACCATGAATATTTGTCCAATAAAATAATGATGACAAACCTTACCTAATCAGTTACTTGAATCCTAAAACTCTAAAAGCAGCTTCTATGGTATCACACTACAACAACAGCACATTTCTGCCCTGTGGTACCACAGCATTATCTACTGCACTCGGCCAGGTTAAATTCAAAGCATGATGGCTCATGCCTGTAATCCCAATGCTTTGGGAGGTCAAGGTGGGAAGATAGCTAGAGGCTAAGAGTCTCAGATCAGCATGGACAACATAGCGAGATCCGTCTCTACACAAAATAATAAAACATTAGGCTGATTCAAGCAGCAGAAAAAAAAAAAAGAAAAATAATAAAATTTACAAAAATAGAATAAATGAATAAATAAAAATTAGCCAGGTGTGGTGGCATGCACCTGTAATCCTAGTTACTCAGGAAGCTGAGGTAGGAGGACTGCTTGAGCCCCAAAGTTCGAGGCTACAGTGAGCTATGATTGCACGACTGCACTCCAGCCTCGACAGAGCGAGACCCTGTCTCAAAAACATAGAAAATAAAAAGTAAAATAAACTCCCTAGAAGGTTAAAAGGCATTTGACTGTCACAGAGTCAAGGCTAGGTAGTCTCTAACGCTTAGGACTAGAAACACGCTAATTTTCCCCTTGTGTGACATGAGTCAGAACAGTCACGGCTATCTCATGACCCAGGAATTCTGTTACACTGCTCTGGTGATTACAGCTTGTGATTTCAAGAGGTTCAAAAATGTGTGGGGAAAGAGCAGAAAGGCTGCAGAGAAAGTCTGCTCCAATGAGCCAGTCCCCATTTCCAAATCCATGCCCGTCTATCTAACCTGGCAGAAAGACAGAGCAACTTCTAAGAGATGTAAGAGGAACACACATTGGGTATCATGAAAACCCACCAAGTGAAGACTGAAAAGTTCACTTTTTAGCCATTCAACAAATATTTACTGAGTACCTACTATGTACCAGGGATTAGTAGGTACTAGCAATGAGGGATTGCTAGTGCCAAGAATATAGCAGAAAATGAATCCAACAAAAATCCCTGCCCTCATGGAACCTACAATTTTTTGGGAGCAATGATCTCAACAACCTCTGGCCCCTGTAACACAGACAAGTACCGCCCTTTGGGTCAAGTGCCAGATGCCAGGTCAGCCATCTGTGTGTCCCCCACTGTCCAAATGAAGCCTCTCACAGATGCCCTTTACTTTCAAGGGGCCGCAGACCAAAATATCAGCAGTGCCAGGCCACTGTCAAAACTGCTGATACAGATGAGTCCCTTGGGGTTAGGGAAGGCTTCCCACACCAACCGTAGGTCTGACTTAAAAGGTGAGCAGGAAATACCTAGACTGCCAGAACAAGCTGGAGCTGCCAGAACAGGCTGTGCAGAGAAGCAGGTAGGGGGTGGGGTGGTCAGAGTTCTCTATATAGGCAGAGGTAACTGCAGAAGCAAAGTCCTGGAGAAGGGAGACGCTTGGTCCATTAGAAAACTGAAAATGCTCCGAATGGCTTTAGCAAGGGGAGGAGAGGCAGCAGCCTCTTTTGTCCCATGGGGAACTCCTGAACTATTTTAAGCAGGGGAGTGATGGGATTCGATTTGCACTTTAGGAAGGTCACCTAACACCAGAGTAGAGAAAACATGAGAGCAGCCAAGCCCAACAGGGCAATCAGGGAGATCTGGGAGGTGACTGACCAGAAGGGGCTAGAGCAAAAAGAGAGTGTCAGGAAAAGGTTCCTGCCTGAGTAGCTGAGAGTGTCAGGAAAAGGTTCCTGCCTGAGCAGCTGAGGACAGCGGTGCCCTCCATGTCACTGCTCACAGGCAGATCCTTTTCTTTGGGGGTGGCAGGGAGCAGGTAATGGCAGTGGTGGTCAGCCGGGCAGCATTTGTACAGGCTACGATGGAGGTGAGGAATGAGCAGGCAGGTGGATGAACAGGTCCAGAGCTCAGGAGACAGGTCTGGACCAAGATTTGGGTAGTGATGGCAACCAAGGCACTGGCCTGGCAAGATCACCAGGAGCAGTGTGCCAGGTAAGGCACCAGGACACACCCTAAGGACACCAACATTCAAAGGTTGAATGTAGGCAAAGGAGCCTGCAGTCTACAAGGAAATTAAGGTGGGCTGGTTGGAGAAGTAGGAGGAAAGCCAAGAGGGCGTAGCTTCCCAGAAGCCAAGGGAAATAGCATTTTAAGAAGGAAAGAATGAGGGTATTATAGACCATGCTGTCAAAGGTCAAAGAATGCCAGAACTAGAAAGTGTTTTATGGACTTAGCACCATATTCACTGGGTTATTGGTGCTGGAATAACAGGCTCAGGTGTCTGATGGCAAGAGGGTCAGGGAAAGGAGAAAGAAGACACTTTAGTGAGACCAGAAATGAAGTGAGGGAAGAGCAATGGCTGCGGGGGATGTGGTCTAGAAAACTGGTAGAGAACTGAGCATGTTACAGAATGGCGAGACGGAGGCCACAGGCAGGATGACGCTGAAGAGACAGAGATGGGCTAATGGACCAAGTACTGCTCCTGAGGAGGAGGGATGGGATCTATCTCAGTGGCACAAACTAGCGCTGGTAGGAAGAGGGCCCCTCCTTCACCTAACAGGAGGCAGACCAGAAGAACAGCCCTTATAGGGCTGGGCATGAGGGACAACACCTGGTGGCTCCTGCTCACGCTGTTAAGAACAGCTTCTAAAGGCCAAGGGCAAGCATGAGGTACAGTGTTTGAGAAAGACAAGGGAAGTCTAGAACAGTAATCATGGCAAAAGGCAGAGAGAAGACTAAGGAAACACAAAAGAAGCCAGATGCAACAGCTCATGTCTATAATCCCAGCCCTTCAGGAGACTGAGGTGGGCAGATCACTTGAGCCCAGGAGTTAAGACCAGCTGGGACAACATGGAGAAACCTCATCTCTATAAGAAATACAAAAATTAGCCAGGTGTAGTGGTGCATGCCTGTGGTCCCAGCTACTCAGGAGGTTGAGGCGGGAGAATCACCTGAGCCCAGGGAGGTCAAGGCTGCAGTGAGCCATGATCATGCCACTGCACTCCAGCCTGAGTGACACAGTGAGACTCTGTTTCAAATTTTTTAAAAAAGGACCCTATGACCCAGCCGATGCTGGTTTACAGGGACACCATGCTGGATTGGTAGGTGACTATGTGATTTCTCCAGCAGCTCTCAGAAGGCAGGGGCAGAGTCCTGCCAGCTACACAAAGGAAGGACAATGGGTGCTCACTGATGAAAGAATGGAGGGTAGGAGAAAATCCAAGAACCTGGATGGGGCAAGGAATGTGTACAGAGGGATGGGAGGACTGGCATTCAGAGAACAAGGTGACTGTACTCAGGATTTCAGGTGAACAGGTAACTCCAGGAGACACAGTCCAGGCTATGAACTGGGCAGTGGGTGAAGCACGGTGGAGAAGCCACCACTGGACAGGAGATGGATCAAGACATTAAGTGAGTCATCGGAACCCAGAATGATGCAGTGGTATGTCAGGGGAAGATGACCTTGAGCCAAATCCCCCAGTCTTCAAGGAATGAGGCAAAGAGTATGGGAGTAGAGGGAGGAAAAAGAGAAAATATCAACACACCACCTGTCCCAAAGGAATGAAGCGCAGAGATCTCCTTCACCAAATGCATCTTATATGCCGTCAACAAGCAAGAGCAAGGCAGAACTTTACATATACTGACTCATCTAATCCCCACAACCACACTACACTGTCTTCTACAGATGGAAAAACTGTGGCTCACAGGCTAAAGACTTGCCCCAAATCACAGATGATTGATTGATTGACTGATCGATTGACTGAGACAGGGTCTTGCTCTGTTGCTTGGGCTAGAATGCAGTGGCCCAGTCACAGCTCACTGCAGCCTCAAATTCCTGGGGTCAAGTGATCCTCCTGCCTCAATCCTTCAATAGCTGAGACCACAGGCATGTACCACCAGGCCTGGCTAATTTTAAATTTTTTTGTAGAGATGAGGTCTCACTACATTACCCAGGATGCCAAGATCACAGATCTTAAACATGCTGAATCCAGAATTGGAGGTTCAGGCTTCCAAACACCAAAGCCACTCCACCCCACCACATTCACAGAGAGACAGGATAGATTGCATTATTTATGCCCCAGCAATCCCTTATCCCCACACCAGAGCTCTCTAATTGCGCCTCACACCATTTCCAAGGAGGAGGGGTCAGGGACTGCCAGGCTGCTGGGTAATAAGCACCGGCTGTCCTCCTGAATGGCTTACTGTACTGGCTGAGATGGGAGGCCACCGTAATTACCCAGAGCCCATTAAAAAGCACTGGGAATGTAATGTGCTAATACTTCTAGGACAAACACATCGAACTATTGGTTCTTAAGGAAACACTGGCCTAGAATTTATATTTCTAAAAAAGCTGACTTGATCATAACTCCACAGGAAAAATTCCTTCCCACATTTCCAAACAAGCCAGTCAGTGGTTTGGTTTGTTTTGTTTCGAGAGTAGGTCTCACTCTGTTGTCCACGCTGGAGTGCGCAATCATGGCTCATTGCAGCCTTGAGCTCTCAGGCTCAAGAGATCCTCCGACCTCAGCCTCTGAGTAGCTGGCACTACTACTCAGTATGGGCACGCACCGCTATGCCTGGCAGCCAGTGTTTTAATTCCAATGACAACGAAGTTTCATTATAAGGAGAAAAGCAGCCTACCACACTTGTTTTATGGGGTTACAAAATGTTTGCTGCCACAGACTTAGAGCAAAAAAAAATGCTGAGGACATACAAGATATGACAATAGTCTTGTTGCCAATATTAATACACAAGATAGCCAATGGTATTCATGTGGCTCTTGATTTGTTTGATATTTATTTATTTGAATGTCAATTAGACATAGTGGAAAAGCCTGAGAAGAGGCTGGTGGTTGCAAAGATGTTTTTTTTTTTTTTGGGTTGACCCACTCTGGGTGTATTTGAGCAAAATTGTGGGGCTTCCCACAGTACTTGGCAAGACGCGCCTGGCTACGAACAACACGGGACAATGGGCAGCCTCGCTGCACCGCGCAGAGGAAAGGAAAGAAAACTTGCAGCCACCGCCTGAGAAGGAACAGCACATTCTGCATTAACCAGGCATGCCTCACTCACTGCAACCCCCAAACAAGCCCAACTCTCCGTGTTGATTCTTCTTACCATACTCCACCAGAAAGCAGCATGATTTTCTGTCCTCAAATACTTCAGATTCCAAGAGAACTGCACCTTCTAGAGTCTCTACTGATAACCTCAGCCACTTACCCACTTGAAGCATCAGCACACACTTAAAAAGGAAACCTGCTAAGTATTCCTGACTCAGTCTCTCCAGGCCTGAGGGTGAAGGAGCTTATTCCCCTCACTTTTCAGAAGACGGGGAAGAATTCAGACTTCACCCCCCTCCCTTCTCCCTCCCCTCCCCAATCCATGCTGTGCTCAGGGCCAGCAGCTTTGCAGGGAGGGAACTAATCTCAGATTGTTGAGGTGAGCAAGAGTGATAATGATGAGCCTTGGATCAGCTGTTTAATCTTTTTATACTCTCCCTGGTCTCTGAAATTCTGATCTTTACTCTGGGGGCATGTTATTATCCATGTCGTGAGGAAACTAGAAACGCGCCTCAGATAGACCCACTCTAAAAAGGATCATTCTTAAAACAGTAAAATTCAAATGAGGCACTGCATCCAGACACAGCCTAAGCAAATTTTACAACACATACACTGAGGAAGTGTTATCAAATCACCTGAAGAATATTCAGAAAACTATTTTTTTGAGACAAGGTCTTGCTCTGTCCCCTGAGCTGGAAGGCAGTAGCACAGTCATGGCTCACCGTAACCTCAAACTCCTGGGCTCAAGTGATTCTCCTCCCTCAGCCTCCAGAGTAGCTAGGACTACAGGCGCACACCACCATGCCTGGCTAACTTTTTATTTTTTGTAGAGATGGGGGTCTCGCTATGTTGCTATCAAGCTATCCTCCTGCCTCAGCCTCCCGAAGTGCTGGGATTATAGGCATGAGCCACCATGCCCAGTCAAGAATCTTCAGAAAACTTTCAATTTTGAAAATTCAAGGCCAGGCTGGAGGCTCACGCCTGTAATCCCAGCACTTTGGGAGGTCAAGGCAGGTGGATCACAAGGTCAGGAGTTCAAGACCAGCCTGGCCAATATGGTGAAACCCCATCTCTACTAAAAATCAAAAAAAGTTAGCCGGTCATGGTGGCACATGCCTGTAATCCCAGCTACTTGGGAGGCTGAGGCAGGTGAACTGCTTGAATCCAGGAGGCGGAGGTTGCAGTAACCCAAGATCACACCACTGCACTCCAGGCTGGGTGACAGAGCAAGACTCCGTCTCAAAAAAAAAAAAAAAAAAAAATGCAAATAGCTGAGGTTAACAATCACTAAGTATCACTGA